CACCGAGGACCTATCCACGTCATCATTTACCCAGAATGCTTTGTGTGCAAATAAAATGGCTCCGTCCGTGTAATATGTTTTTAAACTTTTAGTTTAAAAATTACAAAAACTGAACATCCTACAGTGTTTTTACAGTCGTTATTTTACAGTTAAAATATATTTATCAAATAAAGTCTAATGTTAAAACGAATCAGGGATCCCTTTAAGTGTTTGAGTGCAGGGCTGTACGATATGGCTGAAAAATGTATCAGGATATAAGCATTTCATATCAGTCTATTGATAAAAATTRATTAGTTTCTTGTTTTACCTGTTTAAATTAAAGACCAGAGGAAAAAAGGCTGATTAACTCTGCCACACTGGTGAACTTTGCGAAGCATGAGAAGTGAGAGGTGGAGCAGCTAAACCTTTCCTCTGCCTACATCTCCCAGAATGCCATGCGATTYTGGATGGGAGTTCAGTGAAATTATCAAACTTCTTTGGACAATTTTTCTATTGATATTGATCACATGTCTATAGCGACATATAGTTTTATCGCCCGGCTGTGTTTGAGTGTTTTGTCAGTGAATCTACAACTTGTAACCACCTCACCTCAGAATAGAAAAGAGCTTTAAAAAAAAAGGAAGATTCAGCAGAAAAAAAGACTTGTTTTCTTCTTGTTAAAGGCAGAGAAGTGATGGAGAGAACTTGTGTATCAGTGTCTGAGAATGTTTTACATGTGATCCTGCAGGCAGTTCCAGGGCCACACAGACGGGGCGAGCTGCATCGACATCTCCAACGACGGCACCAAACTCTGGACCGGGGGGCTGGACAACACGGTKCGCTGCTGGGACCTCCGAGAGGGACGGCAGCTGCAGCAGCACGACTTCACCTCACAGGTAACAAACTGATGGAGGGGATGAAYGGTTCATGTATGTCAAGTTGTTCTGATTAAATTACACCGATTTTTGTGAAAATTATGGATTTCTGAGGGTCAAGATACAGGTTACTGTCTGAAAACATGAAATGATGCAACAGATGTGTTGCATCATTTACACATGTAAGCATGCAGACTGTGTAGTACACGTCAAACTAAAGGCCTGTGGGCCACATGTGGCTCGCAGCCGTATTTTACGTGGGCCGCAAGAGCTTCAAAGACATTGTCTTTAAAAAAAGCACCTGCTGCTTTAAAGCTTGCATTGACCATGAACTACGTCTCCCATAATGCATGTTAGTGATGGCATCCCACCAGCAGGTGCAGGCAGCTAGAGAAATTTGCTATGCAAAATCTCCGTTTAGTCACATTTTTGCCGGTTACTTTTCCCATTTGTACTGGGAAATGGAAATTTCCCACTTAGAAGTTGCAAATTTGTCCAAACCGTCTATTTAAAGTCCAAATAAACCCCGTTTTGAGCACCCCTCCTGATTCTCACACGACTTCCCGTCCGTCTGCAGATCTTCTCTCTGGGCTACTGTCCGACAGGCGAGTGGCTCGCCGTGGGGATGGAGAGCAGCAACGTGGAGGTCCTGCACGTCTCCAAACCAGACAAGTACCAGCTGCACCTCCACGAGAGCTGCGTCCTGTCGCTCAAGTTCGCCTACTGTGGTACGCTCACACACACACACACACACACACGTAAAATTATGCAGTTACAAAACAATACCTGTGTGTCTTTATCATAGCGAGGTAAAACAAATTTCCAGCTCGTCATCCAGAAACTTGTTGTTTCCCTCAGCACTTGTTTATCCTCCGTATCTGCCCCCTCCCTCCCCTGAGGCGTTATCTGCTGACAGCTGTGTGTGTTTGCTCCTGTAGGTAAATGGTTTGTGAGCACAGGAAAAGATAACCTCCTGAATGCCTGGCGGACGCCCTACGGCTCCAGCATATTCCAGGTAGGTTTGTTCCGTGTGCCGAACAAAGCAGATGTTATTTTGATGGTGKGGGTGAAAAAAACAGCAACACAGCTGAATTCTTCCTGACTTTTCGGTCTGATTGACAGCTTGTTGGTAAAAACTCTCTGTTTCTGTGTCCAGTCCAAGGAGTCTTCRTCAGTTCTCAGCTGCGATATCTCACCGGACGACCAGTTCATCGTCACCGGCTCCGGGGACAAGAAAGCCACGGTCTACGAAGTCATCTACTGATCTCTGATTGGCTCCATGTGGTAAACTTCTAATCAGAGGGCGGAGCCAAGTCTCCCTCCTGCACCAATGACTACAGAGCGTCGGTGGCACAGGAAGCAAGGGACACTCAGCTTGTACTTTGTTTTGAAATGAGTGAGAAGAAAGGACAGGCAAAGTCACATCTCTGGAAAAACTTTTTTTTATGCTCTGCGAACGCTGGGTAGTCTATAGCTGCGCAATTATGGGATTCCTCCAAAGACATTTTTGATTTTCTTCTTTCTATTTTTGTTTCTTTTTTTTATAAAATAATAAACTCTGTAGGCTAAAAGAAATTAGAAGAAAAAAACTATTTGAATTTATTGAGTAGAGTCAAAACAAAGGGGATAAAAAGGGTCCCGACTTGGTGCTGAACGTGAAGTCAAAGTCTGAGTATTCTCAGCCCTGTTCGGCCCGGTTTGGCCCGGTTCAGCCCGGCGCGGTCCAACTCGGCGGACGGCAGATGGCGGGACAGTCTACTGAGGTTCCAGCTGCTTTTATAATTTTTTCTCCTCGTTCGTTTTAGCAGCAACATGATTGTAAAACGTCTCGTGGCACACAGAGCTCCTCTAAAACATCCTGGATTTTCTTTTTTTCTTTATTTTATTTTTTACAAAATGGACACAAAGCAAAAACCTAAAATCAGTTGAAGAATGAAGTGTCTCTTTTTTGGGTTGTTTTTGTTTTGGCACAAATAAACCAACTGAGCAGTGTTTTATAAAACTCATCTTGATCCTTGAACCTTGCTCTATATGAACGTGTAAATAAAGTTCTCTTAAGGCAAAACAAGGAAGGCATTAGACTTGTTTGTCTCTGAGGTGTCTAAAGGATGATTAATTTGAAAAAAAAAAAAAAGAAGCAACATATTAGATTCGGTTGCTCCTTGTTTCTCCATCGAGCTTCAGGCAGGTTTGACTCGGATGTTTCAAAGCGGAGAAGAAAAGGAAGCAGTTGTTGCGTATTTTGTTCAGACGTTCGCAGCCAGAACAGCGTGCTCTCACCGGGTGGTGTCAGAAAGCATCTTGGAAATATTTGGATGAAAAACAAGCGATGTGAAAGGTGAGTGCACACACTCTGCCTCTGACAGCTTTCCTCTCATTCTGAATGAGCGCTCAGCTGCTCTGCTCCCGCTGATGTGAGGAAGGCCTCTTGGGATTCAGGTTGATGCAGTTCGAGTTGTGAGGCGAGTGAAGCGTTCAAATTCTGTTCAGATTAGCGCTTTGATTATTTAGGAGCTCTAAAGGCTGCTGCTGTAGATGAATGGAAACCCAAGCAGCCAATTAAAGCTACACGCCCATCTCATCTTCTGCTGCTTACCTGAGGTCAGGTGGCAGGAGACGACAGGTCCCCTCCCCCGGGTGATGGACCTCCTCCCTCCATCTGTAAGGATGAGCCCGGCCTCTCTGTGAAGGAAGCTCATCTCACCTGCTTGTATCCAGGATCTCTTCCTTTCAGTCGTGATCCCCACCTCCTGACCACAGGTGAGGGCTGAAATGTAGACAKACCAGTAAATCCAGAGCTTTGCCTTTTGACTCGGCTCTTTCTTCACCACCACCGACTAAAGCAACACCCCCAAAATAAAAATAAAAAAGCCCCGATCCAGCTCCTACCATCCCCTGTAAACTGGAGGCCCAGATACTTGAGGCAGAGCCCCCCCTCCCAAAAYATTTGGCAGGTCTGTTTCTTGTAGTTTAAGCTCATTAAATTGGTAAATTAAAATTTCAGCAAATGTGGGAACGTGTGTAAACGAGCTCCATTTTCTGTTTAATTTCATGTTTTTGTGATTTGTTCAGTGATTATTTTTAATTGTTAAAACACAACCCTTTGTCACTGATGAGGGGAACAGTGACTTTGTTTTTTTGTTTTTTTAAATCGGACAAAGTTGTCACTGTTAAGTGAATAAAGTTGTTTTTTTTTTATGGTCAGCCTTGTATTTCAACATTAAATCCTAAGATCCACCACAACAACGCTGGAAGTGAATGTAGTCTTTTCACTACTAAAATCCTAGTTTAGATAAATGAGTTTTTATACACTTTTTGTTCTCGGTGTTTTCTTACTGAAAGACATGGGCACATCTACAGTAGGTCAAACTCGAGGCCATTTGTGTCCTGCGGCAGCTTCATTGCRTTAAAGCTAGAATAGATGAGAAACTACATCTCCCATAGTGCACGTCGATTATTTTACCTGTGAAACGGTGGCTTTTCACCACTATGTGAAGGTGCACAAGGTACAAAATTAAAGTAGCCGTCAGCTGGTGAAATTCACCAAATAAAACACTCATTTCGCTGCATTTATTCCTGCTACTTTTGCCTCCTACATGTTGTAAATTGAAACTGGAACGTCCCCTCTAGTGGGAATTCCTTGTCAAAGTGGGAGAGCTCATGATTCAAGATGGCGGGTACTCACCACAACTGTGAGTAAAACTCTTTAACTTTTAATAGTATTTCTGTATTTATTTCACATTTAGTCAGTCGTACACATAGTATATGTAAAAACGCTGTTTCTATACAGGAAATACCGCATAGAGCTCAGTTATTGTTTAGCTGTGCTCAGCCGTAGAAATGAATGTGACATTTTGGCTGTGTCCAAAACGGCAGGMCRKGTCCTCCGAAGGCCGAATTCGTCAGCCGCATACGTCACAGCCCCGCGMCGAAGGACGTCCAAAACCGAAGACTCCTCCAATGCAGCCGACAAATACATCCTTCTTTTTCCCCGATTTGAAGGACAGGTCTGATGGATCTTTCCCGGCCCAGTGTATCCCATAATGCATTGCGGCCCGACCGGAGATTTTTTTAAGCTAGTAATGGCGGACGAAGCAAGAGAAAAGAATACATTTTAAAAAAAACATGGCGATATAAAAATTAGAAATTTTTTTAGCGGTTGTAATTCTAATA